GTGGAGCCCAGAGATTCTGAGGAGATCACAAGGGCTACGGAAGGCAATTTTAAACACATATTGGAAATTCAATATTGGAGAAAAGCAGAGAAAGAATATGTGCTTCCTTTTCAACAAGGAGTTTCTGCTCAGAGTTCAATTTTTTAAAGGGGGAAAGGGATATGAAGAAAATGGCAGAGAAACAGCTTAGAGAAAACAACCCTAAATTCAACCACTCAAGAAACAGAATTCCTTTCCTTAATTTTTTTTTCTTTTTTTTTTTCTGGTACTGGGGTTTGAACTCAGGGCTTTGTGCTTGCCAAAAGGCACTCTGCTGCTTGAGCCATGCCACCAGCCCCAGAATTCCTTTCTTAAAGAGCTAAATGGAGGTATCTGGTCTGTTTTTAAAGAAAATCATTTCTTTCCCCTTCTCTTGTAGGTCTGTTCACTCTTAAATTTCTAAAAAAAATTACAAATAAATCTCATTTCCAAATTCACTTTTATACAATTGGAAGGCAATACAATATAACTTAATTAGGCTAGTCATAGAATTTCTTGGAACCAACATTAATTATAACTGTGGCTTCAAAACTTCATTATTTTTTTATCAGTCCTTGACAAATATTAATAACATTCTGATGAGAAAAACAATGATAAGACTTTTCATCTTTCCATTCCAGAAATGATGAGGATATTATATCAGCTCTGGGAGGGATGACAGGAGGATAATGGTGATGAAGGAGATAAAAGAAAAGCCGCCGTGGTAAGAAGAGAGTCAAAGAAAAGGAACAGAAGAACCACTGGAGAGTCACAGCAAAGCTACTGCATCCTGAAAGGAGGGTTCATGCCCCACAGGTGCTTCTGCAACAGAACTCTGTCCTTCAGATGAAAACAGCTCAAGAAATGCAAAATAAGTGTCCCAGGTTGGTACCTCATAGGACAGTGTTTCTTCAAGTGGATTCCTTGACCCCTACACCTAAACAATCAGTCCCCTGGACTGTTAAAAACACATTTTTGTTCCCTAGCCCAGATTTCCTGAAGTACAATCCCTAAGAATGAGACCCTCACAACCACATCTGATATGTATTAAAGTCTGACAACCTCCACCATGGGTTCTACTCTGGGAAGGCCCTAATTAACTGCATTCTGATAATTAATTTCAGGCCGCCCCACCATCATCCACGTGATCAACCTGCAGTGAGTTACTCTCCTTTGTTGTCAAAAGACAGGAAAGAGAAAATGCCAAAGAACTCTGTCAGTAGGCTGGTAAGAAAACCTTTCCTCCAGATGGCTGCTTTCACAGCTGCTTTACCTTTTCCTAGAAAATGGGAAGGAAGCAAGAAAAATGCCCTCTGGATATTAATTAGCCTAAGTCTCATGCTGGAAGTAGATCCAGCCAGACTCTCTAAACCAATCACAGGATCAAAACCACTATTTTGGCACCCACCATGGGCAAAACTGACAATCTCAGTATTTGAAGATGCTCTACAATATTTCTATCGTTGCTTCAATTTTTAGAAGTCAATGACAACATAATTAAAACTGACATACTGAAACTTATGACAACTTTTAAATGCTTACCTCAGCACACAAAGAATTTTCTCCAGGTGTTTAACATCTGAACAGTTTTCAATATACTTGAAATCTAAGTGTTCAATGGGAATTTTAAATGTTTTTGTTGTTCCAAAGCCCCACAATGATGGACAATCTTTGGCAGTCATGACTGAAATACAGTATAGGAAAAGAGATATTAACCTAATGTATGTAATAATGCTCAATTTGGACAGTAGCAGTCATCTGGGAGCTCCTAGTGAAAAGGAAGTGGAGTGTTTTTCCCAAGGAGGAAGGCCAATCATTTTTAACTCTCACTCCTTGTAACAATAGTTAACATTGACAAAGTTAAATTTTTATGGGCTACATAGGGATTATCTCAGTCTTAAGCAAACCTAGAATAGAATGACAAAGCAGGTTTTGGTGCTTAAACTGCTTTTTATCTTTTAGTGTTGATTTTGAATGACCTACTTTAAGTGTTTGTTAACATCCCAATCACCCTTCACGTTTCAGCACAAACATAAATATCCTTTCTGAAGCTTTTCTTCCTTTTTCATTCCCTACTACCACTCACTCCATCAATGAAGAGCTCCCAGGACTATACTCTAAAGCACCCAGTACATACCTCCCACAGAATATGGCATATGCATTCTAGATTGTGCGAAGATCTTACTTTATTCATCCTTGTATTATGACTGCCAGGACTAACATAAGTAGTACTTTACATCCCTTAAGAAATACTTGGTGAATTGGATCACTGCTAATGATAGTGGTAACAACAGCAACAAATATTTATGTAGTTCTTAATGCAAGTTAAACCCTATTCTAAGAATACGTATGGATGTATGTATGTGTGTGTGTGTGTATATATATATATATATATATATATATATAGTCTCACTTAACTACTATGTCAGGTAAGTTTTACATTATGTAGAGAGCAATAATAAGCTAACTTTTATGGAGATAAATTACCATATGCCATAGATTATCTCACCTCAAAATCACTCTCGTGAAGGACAATAATTACTCCCAGGGTAGGGGGACTAGCTCAGTAGTAAGAGTGCTTACCAAACATGTAGAAGGCCCTAGGTCCAATCCCCAACACTACAAATAGTAATAATAAGTAATCCCATTTTATTGATAAGCATGTTAACGAATGAACTGACAATATGTATCAAAGCAAGCTAGCTACAGAACCCACCTACTGAACCATCATATAGTGCTTTTCAAACTGCAGGTAGCAACTCATGAGTAGCAGTCAGCATTGTTTTATGAGGAAGAATTAATAAAATAAAAGACTTCCCAGCATGTAACATTAAAAGTTTTATAAAAAGTTTTAGTTCACGTCTATGTAAATGGGTTATGTGTGTTCATAAACACACATGGTTCCAAAGTGAAATATATTTCATATTGGGAGTCACTGTCAAGATTTTTCAAAAAACCATTGCACTAAAACCTATTGGGAGATCATTTTAAAAACAAGAAGCAGCAATACGTCTAATTAATAGAAGCATTTCTTTTGGTGTGACTACCCTCTGGGAGTTTGCTCATATCATCAGACCTCTGCAGAGTGAGGACACTCTGTCAAGCTTCTGCATATTCCTGCTGGTTTTGACTTGGGTACAGAGTATGGATGACAGGCCTTCAGCTTTGGGATGAAATCTGACCATGAAACTCAACTGTGGTTTTCACAACATGCCTGCAGACCCAGGATGATGAATGACTCCCATTAAAAGGATGATCTGAAGAGTGGAAGTTACAGAAAAGAAAAATGAAAATTTGCCTTGGGCAAATTTTTCCAAAGAGTGGAGGATCTTTGTGGGACAGAATTAAGCATCTGCTAGGATTGAAAGAGATTACCTTGATTGAATTTATCTTGCATTTTAATTTGGATAAATATGTGTTCTGGTGTGATGGGGCATGCCTTTAGCCCCAGCTACTGTACTTGGAGGCTGACATTATAGGATCAAGGTTCAAGGCCCAGGCAAGAAGTTAGTCAAACCTATCTCAAACAAGCCAAGCACAGTGCATGCCTGGGTCCCAGCTACCAGAAGGCTGAGGTAGGAGGGCTGTGGTCAGAACAGGAGTTTTTTGTTGTTAGGTTTATTTTTTTGGTAGTACAGGGGTTTGAATTCCAGTCCTCACACTTGCTAAGCAGGCACTCTACCATTTGAGCCATTTCACCAGTACTTTTCAAGATAGGGTCTCACAAACTATTTGCTTGGGCTGGCTTCGAACTGTGATCCTCCTGATCTCTGCCTCCTGCGTAGCTTGGATTACAGGCATGAGCCAGAGCAGGCTTTCTGACAAAAAAGAGTGACAGACACCCTATCTAAAAACAAACTAGAGCCAAAAAATAAAAAAAAAAGGCTGGGGCGTGGCTCCCTACAAGCATGACGCTCTGAGTTCAAGTCTTAGTACCGCTCCCCCAAATACATACCTCTATATGAACATATAGACGTATATATATAATGAAAAACATGATAGACTCACCTCTTACCTAATCAAACAAATTTCATTCTGAATACTATTCTAACATTTCTGAGAATCCATCTTGAAAACTACCATGTTTTTTTTTCTGTAGGATATTCTCAAGATTACTAAATATTCTCAAGTTCCAAAAAGTAAGTTATACTTCACTTGCTCTCTTGAGAATTCTTCCACATTTCTTTGCAGAGTCGTTGACTAAGAAAATCTTTAGTCCTAGCAGTATTTAATTTCTTCCGTCATTCTGACCCAGTTTCACATCCCATATTTCCTGATCAGTTTATCAGTTAATACCTGCAGTGCAAGCAGCCCTTGTCCAGCGGTACCCTAGCAACGCGAAACCTCGGGGGTGGTCCCAGCCAGGCGGCTCCTTCCCAGCATCCACAGAGGGACGCGCGTCCTCCGCCGTCGGCGACCGGAAGGAAACGCGTCCTGCAGCCTGGCAACCGTTTCTATGTACGGCGCGGCAGGGTCAGGGCGTGGCCTGGGAGCTCTAAGCCGGCCCACAACCGCTCTCCCAACCCGGCTCTGGTCACCAGGGCCTGTGCGGTTGGCCGGCTCCGGGAGCCAACTTCCAGCAGTCGGCAGCGACCTAGAAAGCCTCCTTTTGTCCCCCGGCCCAGGAGCACGCCCCTCTTGCTCCAGCTCACGTGCAAGTGCTTTTCCGCTTCCACCCGGCTCCCAGGCCCCTGCTACAACACAGACGCCGTCCCTAACGGCAGGTACGCCCCAGCACTCACGGCTCCTCAGGCCCCACGCCCAGCCTGCGCCGCAGGTACCGAGGGAAGCGCGCTAACGCAGCCGAGACCCCAGTCACCGCCGCGGGGCGGAGACCAGCCCCTGTGCGATTGGCTGCCCCTTCCCTGCCTTCCGCCGATTGGCCACACAGCATCCCACCCCCCCCCAAGCCCCGCCTCACCCCGCCCAAAGGTCCGCTGGAGCATTAGGATGGAAGAGTGAGGGTTGCCTTCAGCTCCTTTTTATTTTGAGTTACAACGCTCTTTCTGTTCGGTCATCCTGGACTGTTAAGTGATATCTACTCCGAGACCTAACTAAACTTCAGAGTCTGAATTACAACATACATATACTTACCTCTTCCCTCTTTTTCACGCATTCCAACATCTTGTGGATGCTACTTATGATAGGCACCCTACTGGTGCTACAGACACAAAGGTAAGATGTAATACAATTCAGAGGAATAAAACACTAGAAATCATTTGTGGACAAATTTATTTCAGTTTTAAATAAATTGCAGACTAGTTAAAACAGAGGATGAACAAAGCACCTGTATGAACCTAGCACATTCAGGATCCAATAAAACACTTCTCTTCCCCTTTTGCCCTTACATTACAGACCTACAGTCTGGTAGCCAGGACTGTTGGTAAAAATTCTAATGCTCACGCTGTTAAACTTACAGTACTTTGTTTCCATTGCCAGTACTGGAGAATGTTAAATTTGCATGTTTATAGACATAGACTCAAAATGTAGAATAATCCTTGTTACCTTAATAAATTTTTTGTCCCAAGAAACACCATCACATGCTCCAGGTCCCGTAAAGTCTTCACACCTTACTCCAGCCAGCAAACTTCCTTCAAAATTATGCCCTAAGGCTCATTCAGTCAACGTAATTTCCCATCATTGTATTTCCAGCAGAGAAATAAACCCTCTATTTGGGAATTGGTTGTAATCCCACATGCCTTGTAATTATTTTTTTACAATATTTTCTTCTGGTTATAACTGTATATACATTTATACTGAATAAACAAGCAAGACAAAAAGCAAATTGCAGGAAACAGACTATGTGGGCAAATACAATTTACCACCACAGACAGTCTTCATAAAGACAAAATATACTGCATGCAAGAAACAAGACACATCCTTGCAAGGTCACATAGCCAGCTAACAGGGACAGTGTGGATATTTGGATCCAGAGCCTTACACCAAAGCCCATACTGTTTACTGAGCTCTTTACTATCCAATCCATCAAAGATCCTTACTGACTCAACTTCAAAACATATCCCTCCATAGCTGCCATCCTGGCTCAGCCATTATCATTGGCCTTAACTAGTACACGTGGCCATTGAAGTGTTTTCTTTGCTACTACCTGTCCCTAACATAGTCCATTCTCATATAACCCGAACAACTTTTTTAGGTTATATACCATGTCACTCTCCTGCTTATTGTTCCAATGGTTTCCCATCACAAACACCTTAAGTGAGCTATCCTCTTCCCACTATCTCACCGTTTCCAAAGTTGAGTTACATGGGCTTCATTCTAAAGTGGGAACAAGACAGGCTTCACATTCCACCCCAGAGCTTTTACACTGGCTATTTTCCCTATTTCAGTAATGCGCCTCTCCTTCGTCTCCCTAGGGCTTTCTCAATCCTCTGCTCAAGTAACCACTCTACCTTGACTTATTTCAGGAAGGTGGGGGAGATGTGTGTGTACCTGTATATGTGAAGAAGCAACTTGTTTTAACCTTCTTCTCAGCCAGCTCTTTATGTTATCTATTCAATTCTGAGTTCATCTATTATTTCTGAGTTTCTCATAACTTTACAATCACAGCAAATACAATGGCACACTCTGCACCAAATGATGCTAGTTTACAAACAGCTGGTAACACAGAATAGTGGTTTTCAAGGAACTTATTTAATCAGACCTTTGGAGGACTCTAGAAATCTGCATTTTTAACAAGGCTTGATTAAAAGCATAGTTTGAAGAAGCAATTTTACTCTTCATTGTGAACCAGATTACATGTACAATAAAATCATATAATTAAACAAATTTTCTTTATACAAAGTATTAAAATATATCTAAACAAAAATCTCATTTTTAAATGAAATTCTATGTACAATTGTATTCATCTTAAGATAAGGATACTAAATCGAAACCTATACAATGAGAAACCCTGAAGACACTTCTTAGTTTCCACATTTCATCGAGCATCAAAAACCACCACTATGTTAAACCGAGTTAAGGACAAAGACAATACTTATAAATTATATGAGATTTAAGGTTTCCAAATCACACTTTCTCTTTGCAATAAGCTAGTCTGTTATTTAATATAAAATGAACAAAAGACCAGAATTCACTATGACAATTGGAGATTATCTTTAAAAAAATTCAATTTTCATTAGTATCATTTCCATGATATAAAAGACCAATGCAGCAAAAAACACTGAAGCATTGCTAAAGATAACTTGTTGCTTTTTAAGAATTTGTTAGCTTTCACAAAACAATTTGCTCTCTGTATTTGGGATAACTGGTAGGCCCCACTTTTTTCACTGGGTAGTATATACATGTTTATTTCTCCTATAATTCAGTTTTCCATGAACTGTAGATTGAATACTTCTATAAATACAGAATCCCTGAAAAATACACTTATGAGAACCAAAATTAACTGTTTAAATTACAGCCTATACACTAGTCTATGAAAATACTAACCATGTTTATTTCCTTAAAAAGTAATACAAACCTCATTACTATTTTTATTGTAACTTAGTCTGTATCAACCCAAGCATTAGTCTTCCTTTCCTCCTCAGATTTAGAAAGCATAGTTAAAAGGATACATCTTTTAGTCCTTTTCTTGTACATTATTCTGTATCCACATTCTCTGCATCTGATTGGATCCCTGGATTTTATTTCATTTTCTGTGTGACATTCTAGAAAAGAAAATATATTTGCTCAATGCATAAAAAGGAAAACATCACAGGGAAGCAAATTATTTTAATCATATTTGCTCATGCAAGGCAACCCAAAGCACTAAAATATACTCAATTCCAAGGGTATGCTGCTATTACTAAATTACTAAGTAGGAAAGAAAAGAGTTATGCACTTTTTCCAAATGAAATCTTAATGAGTTAAATGGTTGTAAAAGTATTCTACTTTATGGCTTTGAAGACCAGTACTCAGTTAAGGAAAAGGATAAATAAAATGATTTCAAAAAACCTAAGTAAAATACCCTTACTTCCAGTGCTACTCTTACCTCCACAGATATAGATCATTGGCTGCTGCTTTGGGGGTTGAACGTCCTTCTGGGTGTCCATTGTTAGCTCCTGAAATCACAGACTCAAATACTGAATATCTCAAAGGGGCTTCTCACAAATCCAACCAAGCCCCATTTTTCTCAGGAGAAACTAAAATGATCCAAATTCCTAGTCTGTACTTTTGAGGTCTAAAGGATGAAATACACAAAGGATTGAGGACTCACCCCAAACTACACACAATAATAAATACTTCACACATGTTATTTGATTATAATATTCCCAACAATCCTAGGAGGTACACTCTTACTTTACAGATGAAGAAACAGGGTCAGAGAAGTTAATTTGCACATTGTAACTCAGCTACTAAAAGGCAAAGGGATTCAGAACTGACTGTAAAGCTCACGTTCTCATTTAACACTAGTTTCAGTTTTCCAAACTTTAGCTGGAGATAGCCCAAAAAATTTGCTAAATAATGCGATGATGCCCAGTGGCAAAACAGCTAAATTAAACGAAACCAAAGAACCGACAGCACGACCTCCATTCAGCATCTTGACACTAACCCAACCCGGAATTTTTTTTTCCGTTGGTGGGAGGGAGACTGGAATTTGAACTCAGCACCTCACGCTTCCAAATCAGGCGCTCTACCACGTGAACCACACCTCCATTCTATCTTAATCTGGTTATTTAGGAGATTGGAGGCGGGGGGAGGGGGGTCTCACGAACTATTTGTCCAGGCTGACCTCCAACCACGATCCTCCCGGTCTCAGCCTCCCAAGTAGTTAGAATTACAGACTTGAGCCATCCTCGCCCCGCCAATTCGGGATCTTTTTAACCCCTCTTAGAGTCCTCTTAGTTTAAGCCAAAATACCCACCACCAATTCTCTACCTCAACGTCTGTCCCACGTACGCAGCACAAAAAAACTACTCCACGATCTCCTCTCGCCGCAGAGACGCTACCAACTTCCGGTGCTGGTGTATGACGCAACGTGGAGTCTCCGCCCCTTCCGCCTTGACCTGCTGGGGAAACGCGCTTCGCCAAGGCGAGGAAGCTGGTGTCTTGTCTAGCAGCTGTGGTCTAGAATTTCTTTCGCCCCTAGCAAATTTCGCTTTTCAGGAAAGCAAAGCTTTTAGACAGTTCTGAAAATCGAAGGAGGTTTGTGTTTCTGAGTAGCAAAGTTGGTAAGAAATAGCACTTCCGGCAGAGCAGAGAATTAGAGCAGAAACGGAGCGGACTAGTGCCCGGAGAATCCCAAAGCAGCCGTTGCACGACCGACTGCATCCATGATTTCCACGTGTGAGACACTCTGCATTATGTTTTTCAGATTGTTGGATGCCTGTGCTGAGGCAGGGCGGGATTTCGTTTTGGTTTCCAGGTCCCCTCCCTAGGCTTCTGTCATCCCCTCTCTTCCACTCCTTTCGATGTTTTAAAGCGAAGGCCTGCCCTAGGTCAGCTACACCATTCCTGCCGCTCAAGGCCAACGGATTTGGGTAACTTTCGTTCTCCCCGGATCTTCCCTCCAAAATGACCTATTCAGTGCAGGTGCGCTCTTTTAAAGATCAAAATTTCAAGGAGATGAATGTATCTCTTGGGGTCAGAACATTTACACTCCTTTCACGGCTGATATTTATATTAGAAGCAAGGCGAGGGAAATGATGTTATTCAAATAAAAATAACTATCAACTTTTAATAAGGTTAATCAAAGAATCAGGCTTGCTTTCTCCCGATGTGCACTGTGTCTTTTGTATCATACATTGCAGCAATACTTCTTTCCAATTCTCCATCCTGCCATTTGAGAACTTTAAGCTTCCTTTCACTTCCAGGAATTCACACTGTGGTTCAGTCTCCACGGACCAGCTTGAGAGACTTAACTTGATCCTTCCAGTCTTCTTAAATGCCAGTTTAAAATTTTCTAAGGCTGAGGGTGTAGCTTAGTGGTAGTGTGTTTGCCTAACATGCACAAGGTTATGGGTTCATCCCCCGCACCACAAATAACAATAATAATAATTAACAGAAATTTTCAGGGAAATGGAAGTTTCCTGCTTCTACCACCACACACAGGCTAACAAAGCATAAATATTTTGTCCATCAATCCTATTACAAAGTACTTCTCCTCTCAATCAAAAAGAAGAGGTAATCCAATACAAAAGGCACAATAAACTTCTCTACAAGAAATATTGGATAAAACCATTGTTCTCGTAGGAGAAAGATGATGGCATGATCCCAAAAGTGAAACTTTAATATTTGAAAGCCGTTCTGGATTTTAACTCTTCCATTCAAGTATCAAGATGATTCTAGCACAAAACAACCTGTAGAGATCAGAATGGATCTTGGGACCCTAAAGAATGGAGGGGCAATGACTAGTCATAGAAAAGAGATCCAGAATTCCACAAGTGTTCATGTTGGTATTAGTTCCCAATCCAGCACCCTCTTTCCTCTCAGCAGGAACCAGTAGTTTGAGGACCACCATGGAAGCTCTCCTATTACTAATTATAACAGTTGACTTCTTGAGAACTTACTACATTCCAGACATTACTGCATTGCTGTCTCCTAACGAGGGTAGTTGTCTTACCATCCTGGACACTAGGGCTCTTAGCTCTTTACAATATGGTTATGGGGATGCAAGATGCTATTTTCCCCCTGAATCTCTGTCTTTCCTTTATCCTTGTGCATATCTATATAGCTAAGATATCACGATCACTGGAAAATCTTCCACTATATTTTATTGGATGGTCCCAAAAGGAAGCATTAGATCGTGTGAAAAGCAGGTGGCTTTCAGAATTCTGAGTCAATGATGGAAGCCTGATCCAAGAATAGGAAGAAAAAAAAAAAGTAAAAGACTGATGTAAATATAAAAATATAAACCCAATAGTTTATATTTTGAGTATATAAGTAAAGTTTAATGCAACCTTCATTTTACTAGGTATGTTTTTGCCCTTTTCGAGCAAGGAGGGATGAAAATTACTGCTTAAACAATATAAAGGAGTTATGTTCTTTTATTCTTCACTGGTAATAAAATGTCCTCAGATATTCCAGGAATTGGGGGAAGGGATAAAGGAGAATGATGGCGAGGGTGAATTCAACTATAATATTGTAAGAACTTTTGTAAATGTCACAATGTACCCCCGATACAACAATAATAAAAAAACTTAAAAGAACAACAACAAAAAATATGAGTGAAAATGCTGCATTTAGGATGGCTCAATGGCATTTGGAAAGGCCAAAATCATTTTGAATTTCTTAATATTCTTGTTTTCTCCAAGTCTTGGACATGCGTAAACGTCCCAGCTTCGCGGCGGGCGGGGGTCGGGGGAAGAGGGGAGGGGAGGTGGGGCCCAAGCTATGCGGCTGCGGCGGGATCCTGGTGGATAACGGCCTTGGCCTCACCGTGATGTCCCTCCCTGCGCGTCCCCCCGCCCCCCGCACCTTCCCGCTGCGCGTGGACGGCCGGCGTCGGAGTGGAAAACGCTCCTAGAGAAGAGTCCTCGGAGGACAGGGGTGGTAGTGGCTGTTACTGGCTTAATGTGATGGTTGAGGTTCTTGGTGAGAATTGTGCAAACCGGGATGATAATCTAAGAAAAGTGCTGGACTAGGATGTTTCATTTAAGGAGCAGTCCCAGGAAAAGCAGACCTACAAGAGCAGGAAGAAGCTGCCAAGAGCAGTAGGACGGGATTTAATATATACTGTGCGCCGGGAAATGTTTTTAGTTGAAATTTTGTACTTAAAAAATGTATTTGACTCTGAAAGTATTGGGTGTTTGTTTATGCCTAAAATGGGATGCCTGTATAAACAATGAATACATTTCACTTTATTTATTCATAGCTTTTATCTAAATACAAGATCTGTATATCTATTACATTATACAAACATGGGAAAATAAACCAAAAGACACTTTAAAAAAACAAAAAGCATTATCTTGTCCAAAGATACGGTAACCAAGCCATTGATACCTTTCCGTTCTTATCCTGTGTATATTTCCTTCTTTAGCCTTACAAGGTGTCATTCCGCGTGTAAGCCGCTTTTACACTTTAAGCATAACTGTCCCCCTTGCATTATTTCCAATGGCGTCCTACTGCAGAACACGTTACTCTAAAAGCGCCAGCTGGAGGTCCCCGGCACCGCGGAATAGAAAGGGGCGGGCCGCCGTAGAGCCGGAAGGGGCGGGGAGAAGCCGGAGGGGGTGGGTCGCCGTAGAGCCGGAAGGGGCGGGGCGGCACTGAGCAGTTGCTCAGGGCGGGCAGTTCAAACTGAAGGAGGGAGAGGCGGCGGCTTCCCCGCGAAGCTGCGGTGGGTGTGACTGTCGCCCGCATCCCCCGGAGTGAGGCGAGGCGAGGCGGGCCCAGCCGCCCTGTCGGTGACCGTGCCGTCCGCCTCACGTGGGCGGCAGGGGCCCCAGGTGTGTGCCGGCTCTGCGGCCTCCGTGCGTTTTCCGCTCCAGCGACGCCAGCCGTCCGCGCGGCTGCGGGCAGGTGCGGGAGAGACGCCCTAGTAAGGCCGTTACCCACCGGTGGCCCGCAGGCAGCACTCAGTGGCTTCCTCCCCGAAGTTGGGAAGTTCACGCATTTCCAAGACTAGTTGGAGAAAACAAGGATTTTAGGAAATTCAAAATGATTTAGTTCTTTCCAAGTGTTGGGACTAATCTCCGCAGTATGCATTTCATGTGTCCTTCCAACCTTAGCTTCTCTTTAAGTGGTATTACTTTGGCATGAAATTTAAAGACAAAAATGAAAGCTTTTCTTGTTTGGAAGCCTATTTAACTTTGACTTCTTAAGAGCTCAAGATTTAGTGATGGTAAGATTTTCCTTTTTAACAAATGAAGGACATTTGGTTTTAATGTAGTTTTTTAAAAAAGTATTTCGTTCTCTGATTTAATAGATGCTTTTTAACAAGAGCATTTTGAGAGAGGTATTCTGAGCCCTTTGTCAGGAATCTAGTGTTTGAAAATGAACTTGGGTCAGTAAAATAAGTCAACAGGCATTCTATGATTTTGCGTGAATAACCTTAAAATTAAGTTTTGAAGAACCGAGTTTTCAGACTGACGCCTTGGGGTCGTCGAAATTTGGAAATGCGGTAACAGCAGAAAAAGCTTGTTTTTAGGGGAAGAGGATATCCTTGCCCCCTGTTTCTAGCAATTTGATGCTGTTTCCCAAGTTCTAACATGATGAGACACCTAGTGGTGAAGTAGCAGAATAGTTAATTTTGTTTTAACTTAAAAATTCCTTGACCTAGTTTTACCAAATTGAGTGAATAAAATGATTTTCGGGGGATAGAGATTCGTGGTTAAGATGAGATTTGAAAACATAGCTTATTAACTTAATATCTGGGATACAATTTTTTTAATATAATTAAATTGTAGAAAGCAAAGTTTGACAATCTTGGCTCCTAAGCATGTGCAGAAGTTAGCAGTGATCACAAGGGGGACATGCGTGAGACTTAGCTGAAAGGAGTAATGGTTTAAAGTCAGATACTTTGCCCAGTAAAAATGATCTTCTAATGGTCATAAAGAAACAATGTCGTGTTTAGTGTAGCAATTTGCTTTTGTAACATGTTTATTCACTCATATATTTAACTGATATAATGGGCATATATACATTATCCCATTAAAACCAGCTAAAATGCATCTTTCTGAGATCTTTTAATAGAGAAAAATCATGCTTTTGGTCTGGAGAAAATTTTGAAGAAAGAATTTCCTTAGTGTTCTTTGAATAATTTGAAGAAGTATCAAAAACAATAATGCCCTTATATTAGGATTTAATTCAAACTCCAGGTGTGTGGTGCATCCCTATAATCCCAACACTGAAGAGGCTGAGGGAGTGCAATTTTGAAGCCAGCTGGGCTACATAGTGAGACCCTGTCTCCAAAAGGAAAAAAAGAAAAGATTTAATTCAAGTTTCTATAAAGAAGGAATGTGATAATCCTTTTGAAAAAGTTGGGTAAGGTATTTCCTGGTTTCATTCCTTACTCATATAATTGCTGAGTAATGTTCTTTAAGTAATTGATTTAAATTCCTTATTTGCAACTTTCCTTATTACATATGGTTGTTCTACAAATAGTTGTAGGACCTTATGTCTTAAAATATTTAGAAACTGGGCCATGAATAAGTATAACATGCTCAAGTTTGAAATGACCCTTTTTTCTATGATGCAGTGGTTCATTTTCGTTAGCTCAAGAACAATGTGGAAGTAATTTTATCAATGAGTCTTTGTAAAGATATAAGCCAGGGAATTCAGACCTTGTGAATGGTCATGAGTATTAGATTTCTGCAATAGGCCTTGTTACATGTATGAGCAGCCTAATTGCAGTTAGAGCTTGGACAATCACTCATTCCTTGACACATTTCCCAAACACATGTTTAAAAAGCAGCATACAATTCTTTTTAAGTAGCTTTATTTATACCCCTGAGCTTTGAAAGGAAATATACACCTAATATAGAGTATTAAAACTAAAATTATGTGCTTTTGTGTTGTTAAAATCATCAAGTAACAAAATAATCTAAAATCAAGGCTGCTTGGTTTTCAAGAAAATATTTATGGATTTAGCATATGGTTAATTAGATAATCTGAGTATAATCTGAAAGTTTGGGCTTTATATCAAATTGCCTTAAGTAGGACACACATCAGTATATTATGGAATAGATTTGCTTTCAAAGTAACTTTAAAAATTGTCACATAGTTTTACATTATTATCTATAGTCAAATAATGTATTTTGATATAAACCTCTTGGCTACTCATTTCAAAGGAAGAATAAATTTGTTCTCACTTTGTAGAAACAGAGTTTGAGGATGTCACAAAGGCATTCAAGTCAAGCTAGCCCTAGAGCAGGAAGTGACGTGGACTCTCCTACTATCAACACCAAGTACTTCACTCTCAGAGATGTTTGTTCCACATATTCCTTTCAAGGTACTAGCCATCATGAATTGTCAAAATCTTGCAACTTTGATAATAAAGAATTTATTGGAAAGAAAGAAAAAGACTCAACATTAACCCATGAGCACCTTGAAACTTCAATTGTAGGCTTAACAAATCCTTTAGACGCTCCTGCTCGAAGAAAGAAGTTTGTCTTCTCTAGGAAGGTAAAGGATAAAACCCCAGAACTTTGTGAAACTCCTAAAGTCAGGGGGAATAAATGTTTACTGCGAAGAAGGTTGGATGTATCTTTCTCTCTTCTAAAGGGAGACTGTGGATCACAAAACAGTTCTCTAGAAAGTAGTGTAAGTCAAGTTCTCAACTTAGAAAATCATATTCCAAGCAGTGCTTCATGTTTCCCAAGGGAAAATAATTTTAGCCCATTAGTTACTAGCACTATAAAAACAGAAGAAGTAACCTCCAACAGTCAAAACTTAAGACTAAATTTTTCTCAGCACAAGACTTCCACAATTGATGATTCCAAAGATGATTGTAGCCTATTTGAAGTGGAGTGTATATCTCCCATTCGGGGCAATGATTTTAAAGATTCATTTTCACATGACTTTAGTGATAGCAGTTTAAGTGTTTATGATGAAAATACACATTCTGAACTTCTGGACTCCTCTGGAAGTGGAACAATCTGTGGAACAGATGAGAATATATTTGTGACTCCAGTAAATAATCTTATAGCAAACATTAAATTTAATGCAAGTCAGACAGTTTCAACTGAAGTGAGAGGCAATTTTTCAACACCTGAAGACAGTGGTTTTAACTCACTTAGCTTGGATAAGTCAGAAGATTCACTCTCTGATCAGGAGGGTTATTTTCAAGAACTACATCAGAAACATAAGGGGACTCTCAAAGTAGGGGACACCATAAGAAAATCAAGGCATCTTGGAAGGTCAAGAAGACTGTCCACTCTTCGGGAACAAGGCTCACAGTCAGAGACAGAAGAGGAAAAGCAGGCCAGCTCCTCCAACTCTGACACAAGACTGGTGGCCAAGTCAAACATCTCAGAGAGTCAACCAAGCAATGGTAATAAGACTGGGAATTTGACTTTAAGCTTTAAGAACTTATCAAATACACCAGCCTTGCAATTAGTGCATGAGCTCTTTATGAGAAGCAAAAGGAAAAGATTCCAGCAAAAGGATGACCATGAATTCTTAGAAGAAAGGGATGAGGGAAAAATAGCTGTATTGCAGTGTGTTCTCGCAGGACTGATTGGCAAGAAGATGGGTATAGAACAACTGGACATCTTAACAGAACTAAAATATAGAAATTTAAAGCACGTTCTTGCTATGGTTTTAGATTTATTAACTGCAGAGAGTTTATACAGGTAAGAAAAGTTGTTTGTGAAATAAAACTTTTATCTTTTTTTAAGTTTTTCTATGTCTATTTATTTTTGGCAGTGCTGGGGTTTGAACTCAGGGCTTTGTGTTTGCTAGACTGGTCCTCTACCACCTGAGCACATTCTAGCTAGAAAGGTTTTCTATGAGTTGTTGGTTTCCCTTGGTTTTTTGTTTGCTTATTTGTTTTATTATTTCTGTCTTTGGTTATCTTATATAGCAAAGGTAATTTAAGTGAACTTCCCAGTAGAGTTTGATAGTGTGCTTTCTATGTAAAAGCCTGCTTTAGAAGTGACAATATAGTCTTCTTCTGGATAAAGTTCTTGTCATTGTCATTTGGGAGGAGATCTCCTAAAAGTTGAACTTTAAATTTTCAAAATGGTAGGCTTTATTCCACAGATTGTTTAATGGTTTAGGGGTTTGCATTGTCTTGTGCCAAACAAATTCCACTAAAGTTATGTTACTTGGTTAGCAATAATACAAAGCATTGCGGTAACTGAGAAATGATTGCATACAATGGATACTATTTAATGATTTAATTCAAGTTTAGACTTCAAGAAAAATGGTAAGCTTTTACTTTAGGATTTGGTCTTTCCAGAGATCAAGGGACTAAGTATTATTTCATTTTCATTGCTAACATGGCAGAGGATATTAAATTACTTTTGGGAACTTAGAAACTGAATAATTTGTGTTCACAGATATTCCAGTAGAGTGAGTGCTGCATTGCATAATTAAAGAGAAACTGGATTCAACATTTAGAAATGAAAACTAAAATAGCAAAGACCAAAGCAAGAGTTCATACTGGCAATGTGGAGGACTTACAGGATGATCAGAAGACATGACCCTCAGATTGTCATGCTCAGGAGGGAGAGAAATCATGTGGAACAAGGTTTCTGCAAGGTGGTTTCCTGGGGGAGAACATTCAGGAAGCTAGTGAGCCTCTTTCTTGATGAGAATATGTCAAGAGTTGAGTTTATAGAATTCTTGCTTTTTTAATGGCCACTACTTCTAAAGTTCTTCACCTTCCCCCATGTATTAGTTGTAGGCTAATGTAGAGAATTGGAAGTCTTCTGAGATATCTAGTTTGACCATGTATTTTGGGGATGGGAAAACTGCCCCAGAGAAGTTAAGTGACCTGACAGCAGTTGCTCCAAGAGTCATTTGAGATGAATCACTGAGCTCTCTGATTTCTCATACAGTATTTTCCCACAAACTCTTAAGGTTTTAAGGCATTTCAGAATAGATTTAGTGGAGAATATATTTGTTGTAATCCAACTAAAATAAGAACCTTTTGGCACACCTATATGTGTGTGCCTTTTAAAAGTGTTCAAATGATAAATTGTCTAAAAAGGAGATGACTGAGATATAGGAATATTATTTTTTTATGTGCTGGATATTGGCCAGATAAAATAAAAAGTTGGGTGATACTTTAGGGTACTCACTTGTGTGAGCAGTTATACTCAGTCATATTTTAACAATGACTTCTGCCTACATTCCAAACTTGAGAGTATTTGTACTGCAGAATGTGTACCTGTGATCTTAGCTGTGCTATTCTTGGTAATATGAGGCAAAATGAAGTAGCTGTGGAGAATATCCAACTATACCATCTGCTTTCCCATTAATAGTAACTTTTTGCCTATTTCTCTCCTCTGTCTGATAGAAGGCACATGTGTAACTTTTTGCCTATTTCTCTCCTCTGATAGAAGGCTTAAGAGAGAGGCCACAGCAACTAAAGTGGCCCTTAAAACACAAAGAATAGTAGTGTTGGGTTAGGGGCATGGCTCAAATGGTAGAGCACCTGCCTAGCAAGTCTGAGGCCCTGAATTCAAGCCCCAGAACCACCAAAAAAAGCAAAAAAAAAAAAAAAAAAGCAAAAGAATAGTAATGTTGATAACTCAAGCATTATCTAAGCCCTCCAAAACAAGTGATTTCTTCAGTTTTCTAATCTATTCTCTGAGCAATTTGTTAAATAAAGCAATAAAAAGACCAGTTGAAAGATTCATTTTTACTTAATAATACAGTTATTGATAAACAAATATGACTTGAATGATAAAAAAGCAAATAATAAGTAAATGGATTGCATCTGTGTACGAAGATGACAAAATGAAATGCACTGAAAGCTGTTTAAAAGTAGGGGAGGAGGAAGGGAGAGAGTAATAGACGGAATTAATCTGATTAAAGTAAAATATATTCATGTGTGAAATACCATGGTGAAACTCCTTTGAACAGTGAATATACCCCCTAAAGATGTTCCTTAGCTGTTTTATTATCATAAACGTCAGTGAACAAAGTAGAAATTTTGTAGTGCTACTTAAATTACTACTTATTTGGCAGTTAGTACTTCCATTGAAGTATTAATTGCTTTTATGTTTATTTAGCCAAAATGAGAGAGGTTTGCTAATCTCTCTCAGTAATAGGAGAAGTCAATCTAAATTCTTGCACTGAAGATAGTAATCTGCTGCTTCAGGTTATGTTCCAAATATTTAATCTTATGTCACATTATCTTACTCTCCAAGTGGACTCATGTTGGCTTTCTGTGACTATGTATGAATGAATAATCTACCCAAACAATGCCAACATATACTTGATATTTTAATAGGAGTTCTTTCATATGCTGAATCAATACAAAACTATATTGATCAGTCATTATTTTTACATTTTTTGTTAGCACATATCAGTTGTACAGGGGCATTTCATTGTGACTTTTCCATATATGCTTACAATGTACCTTGGTTAGACTCATCCCCTCCATTTTTCTCCCACACCTCCTCCTTCCCCTTCTTAAAACAATTTCAACAAGTTTCATTTTTCTATTCCTATACAAGTATATAGAATACATTGACCATGTTTACCCTCCTTCCCCCATCCATTTATCCTCTGCTTCCCACTAGTACCCACTCCTGAAAGGACCTGTCCTTCATCATCTTTAAGGGGGTATATTCATTGTTCAAAGGGGTTCCACCACGGTATTTCACAGATGAATATATTTTACTTTAATTAGATTAATCCCTTCTATTACTCTCCCCCTACCTCCTCCCCCACTTTTTAACAGCTTTCAGTGCTGTCATTATGTCTTTATACACATTTGCATTTACTTATACACAATGCATTTACTTATTTGTGTTCCATCATTCAAGTCATATTTTAATGTGTAAATTTTTAGCTTAAATTTACTGTCTAAACTCTTTAAACTTTTCTTATGAATTAACCCTACCTAAAAAATAGTCTTTTGTAATTCGTGCAATATAAGGACTGATCTTTTTGTTTTAGTGTTTGGAAAGTCAGCAGAAATTGGCGTGAAATTGTTGCTCAAGATAGAAAAGCTAATCGGAGAAGAAAATTTTATATCACACAACTGAAAGCAAATTCTGAGGTAATGTATAATAATAATACTCTTCTAAAATTGATTTATATAAATATCTAATAATTCCATATTTCTGGACAACCTAATTTGGTGTTCCTGCTCTTTTAACCTTTTCCATTTAGCAAACATTCACTCATAAACTTTTCACTTTTTCCAAACTCTGTATCCACCCAGTCTGTAAAGTACAATAGGCCACAGAGCACGAAGAATACCATGTTGGGTTTCATTGCTGTTTATGCAGATTTGCTGCTGACAGCATTTGAATGCCAGTGATTGGCTGGCTCCTGTTCATGGCTAGATACCCACATGGCATTTTCTTTTAGCCCAGGCTTTTGAGTGCCAAACAGATGCCACTAACTGTGCCAGTTGTTCAGATTACAGTGATGGATGTTTCCGACATGATCCCTGCTGTTTCGGAGTTTATGTCCTGGGGGAAGCCCAGAGTTCTACTGGACATTTAAAAGGAGTGTTGAACTTATACTTGAGAATCAAAAGAAGTACCTCTCAGCTGAGATGTGAATGATGAGTTAGCAGTTAGCTAGGCGAAGAAGACAGGGAAGAGCATTTCAGCAGAGGGAACAGCATCTGTTCCTTCAGAGGCCTGAGGGTGAATGAGCTAGGCAGATTAATACTTGTGAACATCATACAGTTGTACTCCTGTGAAGCCAGTTGGAGTCTGGCTGTAAAGGTACAAGAAAAGTGTTTAGAAAAGCTGGTGAGTTCTTCATGGGGATGTTACTTTGTGTAATGGGCATCTGATCAGGCTGACAGAGTGGCTCAAGTTGTAGAGTGCCTGCCTATCAACTGTGAGGCCCTGAGTTCAAACCCCAGTACTGCAAAAAAGAAAAAAAAAATGGCATTTGATAACTGGAACTCATATTTGATTGTAGATTCAATTTTTAGACCTTTCTTAGACATCACTACTAAAAGAAACTCTGAGAGTTTGCTTCCTCGTTCTTGTTTTAGTAAATATACTTAATAACATACTATGAGTAAATTTCTAATTTGATTATAATAATTGAGATGAAACTTGGCATAAACAAATATTAGCACCTAAATACAAATTGGTAGGTTTCCCATTTCCGTGAAATATTAGGGATTTAATTAACTAAAACTGTAAAGAAAAGTTTTACTTTGTCATCTGTAATATCGCCTCATGATTTACTTAGTTTCTGGCTCCTTACTATTGCAGCTGCTGGCTCTGGGAGCTTCTAACCATGAAGATAATAATATTAATCACTTTTTTGTTTTGCTTGTTTTTTGAGACAGGGTTTTGCTATGTAGCCCAAGCTGGCCTTGAACTCACTATGTAGCCAGGTTGGCCTCACACACATGATCCTCCTGTCTCCACCTTCCAAGGGTTAGAATTACAGGTATATGCCACCAAGCCTAGCTATTAACTGTCTTCTTAACCTATCTTTTTAGAGTACTGCCCTACAAGGTAGGGACATACTTAAGAAAAACTCTTCCTAAGCAAGGGTATATTAATATTTAAACTTTTAGATCCTTATACTACTTAACTTATCTAAAGGAGAAACCTATTTGTGTTAGCAACCCCTCAGATAATTCTGGATAAAATGTTTTATCCTCATATCCTAGCCATCACTTTTTTTAAAGACCTGATTTCTTAAATGATTACATTTTTTCCCTACTTGAACTTTTTTCTTGTTTTGGCTTGTTTTTGTAAACTCTTTCAAAGTAATACAGTTCTTGCCCCATCAAGGCAATCCTTTTCAACTCTTCAGTTTCTTCTAATCTTTACTTCCATAATTCTAAGTAACATACTTCCATTGCTGTTTGTTATTTTTGTCTCTAAAGGGATTAGGTAAGTTCACTAGCTTTTTGCCACTGCTACCACTATCTAGCTACTCCTCTCTCTCTGAATTCTGTTCTCCTTTTCTCATATCTTATGACTATAATTATACCATCATTTGGGGGTGAATTAGAATTAGGTACTGGCATCATTGAGACTGTGTCAAGAGTATGTATGACTTGTTCACTATCATTACAATTTTTCCTGTGTAAGTTTTTTCTAGAGTTAATAATTGCCCAGTTTTTCTCTTTCTTTTTGCTAGTGTTTCTCTATACAGATCCCTGATTCATCTCCTATTATCCACCAGAACTGAAAGTCTCCTCTGTGTGAGTCCAAACAAATGAGGTATTCTACCTGTTCCTTCTTTTCCTCAGAGATAACCTTTCTGGAGCCTTGTGCCCTCCAATTCCAATGTGGACTGGTTGCTTTGCCTGAACTATCCTAATATACCACTAACCAAAACAGAAGCATTAAAAAATGTTGTTGGGTGATTTTCATCATACTTGTATAATGTCACTGGAAGCACCTATGTGTGAAAACTGGAAAGCACATACCAGGCATGTGTAATAGGAGTTCAATTTTATCTGTTTGCTTTGGAACAGTGAGGGTGAGCATTGGAATTAAAATACCATACCTGTTCCATCGAATTTCTTACTTTATTCTTCACTGATTTCTCATATTTGTGGAAACAATCATTAAATGAGTCCACACTCACATTTAAATCTTTTCTGCTGACATAATAACTATGTCTTAAAAAATGTCACTCCCATAAAATATGCACTTTTATCAACTGCCTCTTGTTCAAAAATAGCATGCATTTTAAACTCCATTAGGATTAGACTATGTTATTCACCTAGCACCTATTATGTATTCTGTAAATATTTATTAAATAAATGCTTATTCGGTGGTTGAAATTTGCTTCAGCAACATATCTCTATTTTTTGCCTATGTACACACTATGATTACCAATTGCAATGAAATCCAGTGAGTGTTGTTTTAGTGGGCACTTGGGTCATGTGCTGTGGCCTAGGCTGCAAATCATTTATACAAATGTAATAGGAAAGATGTCCTTGCATAAGGTCAGTATGTTCAACTATATTCATTCTAATTTATGAGGCCAATTACTTTTATGCACATTTTTAAACTGTTAATCACATGATTTTTCATAATACACTAACTTAATTTCCTATACTTATCCTACTATAATTTCTCCTGCTTTATCTTTCCCCACAGTTAGGAGCTAATTATTACAAAGGAGACTATCAATGGAGAGGATACATAATTATAGTTTGAGATGTAAGGGAATTCACCCATAGTACATTTTATTTTGATAATTGGTTAAGAATACACATTTTTTTAAAAAAAACTTACTATTTCCCCTTACAAACCTTAACAAAATAAAAGACTGTAAGATTACTTGTTGAAAATGTATTTAATTTTTATTTTTCCAGCTTTATTAAGGTACAGTTGGCAAATAGAAATTGCGTATTTTAAAGGTGTGTACACTAATTAACATATTTCTATACTGAATATTTGAATTATGTGGTAATCCAGTTCAGGTGAGAGGGGCTTTTTTGCTCTTTTTAAAATGTCAGACGCTTAAAACTTAACTTTAAAAATGAATCAGCACCAGGTATTTGCAAAAATCAGCCAAAGACATTGGATTTTATGGTCTAAACAGTCCTGTTGTTCTTCCAACATGTAGCTAAGGTAAGAAAGCTTCAAAGAATTCCATAGCAAACTTTCAAAGGATTTACTTCTTTTTAGACCCTAGTTTAAAATGGATTGCAACTGCAGTCTGTGGGCCAAGTCCTGTCTGTCATCTGTATTTTAAAAATAAGTTTTATGGGAACACAGCCCCGCTCTTTGACTTACCTATTGTGTACAGCTGCTTTCTCTGTAACCCCACTGTTGAGTTGCTGCAACTATATGGCCTGCAAAGTCTAAAATATATACCACCTGACCTTTTTCAAGAAGAGCTTGCCAAACCAAGGCTTAAAGTAAATAACTGATCATGCAAACTAAAATGTATTTTTTTCTTTTTATATTTCTTTGACTTTTAAATGTTAGGTGAGAAAATAACTTTAAAAAACAAAAGAAGTGGTCTAGGGAGAAAATTCTGGTGGTCTGAACCACTCGTGAACACTTAAATCCATGTGTATCACAAAGCTGTGCTGTCTTGGAAGTTTGTTGATATTGCAGTGTTGATTCCTATTGTCTTTTACCACAGGGGGCTATATTAAATGTTGAGGATGCTGCCACTCGGCTACATCTTCTAAATCGCTCAGCTTTAAGATCAGTGCAGGCACAGGCCCGGACACCCAGTTCTCTTAAAGAGCAAGTTCCAACCTTATCTCCTTGGGGAGAAGTTTTGACACCTATAGCAAGTTCTTCCTTTACCCATTTAAATAGTAAACAGGATGAATATGTTAAGGTAAGTATGTATTTGTCATAAGTTACTAGAAACAAATATTTATAGAGTCTGAAATAAAGTGGTTCTCCATATGACCCTGGAAGATTTAGTGTGTGTGCTTTCACTGCAGGTTGCCAAAACACTGTTTACTGATGAAGCATTAAAACCTTGCCCAAGGTGTCAATCCCCAGCTAAGTACCAGCCATATAAGAAAAGGGGACTGTGTAGCCGCACAGCCTGTGGTTTTGACTTTTGCGTGTTATGTCTGTGTGCTTATCATGGGTCTGAAGAATGTAGCAGAGGAGCAGCAAAGCCAAGAAATAGGAAAGACGCTCTCCCAGGAAGTATCCAGAGTAAGCGGAATTTAAAACGCCTCTAACTGTAAAAGAAGCTCTCCCCATTTGATGTTTTATTTGTCTGACTTACAATTATGACTATTTTGAACACATGCACATTTCCCATTAATGACAGATGATGATTTATTTCCTATTTTGTATATATATTATAATCCATGTCATTGTATGTTTTCTTTAAAGTGATGAGTTTTGAAATGATTTTATTTTACTATGTCATTTTTACCCATTTTAATAACTTGGTGTTTTAAATAAAGATTTTTCAGTGTTGTCATATATATGTATTTTACTGTTTCATGTAACATTTTATTTTCTTTTCATGTAGCATTTTAAATTTGTGCATTTCATCACTATGTGTTGAAATGTTATTCAACCATTTAAAAAAATAGTTTCCCAAATAATATTAACATTTTGAACTTGAGAACAATAGCCTCATAGATTTGGAAAATAAGTATTTGACTGAAATGAAATATAAATAAAATGTTTTCAGAAGTTCTATTGACTTTACTCCATAATTTCAATCTTTCTCTTATTTGGCATATTTTAATAGGCTTCTGGCTGAGTAAAATTTACTGAATATTGGTAACTAGAAAGACATAAAACCTAAATTAGGGAATATATGGCTATTCATAAGGTGAGTCTTTTTAAAAATTCTAGAACTACTAAATCTGTGGATTTCATTTATTTTGTATAGTCTGGATATTACTGTTTTGAAAATTTGGAAGTAGGTAGAAAAGATAGTTTTTTAATAAGAAATTTTACCAAGTTATTTAGAATGTACATTATAATATATGTACATTTATAAGCACCTTTTTCCAAAAATGATTTGAGGTTGGTTGCATGTTCCATTTATAGATCAGAAACAAAAAGAGGTAAGTTCTACTATTGAACAAATTATTAAGATCGGGGAAATTGTCAGTTTTGTAGGTTTTTGGGGGGGATTTGTTTGTTTTTTGCTTTTAGGTATCTTGTGTTCCCACTATGCACAGATTTAAATATAGCTCTTGCACTTTTTTTTTTTTTTTTTTTTTTTTGGCGGTACTGGGATTTGAACTCCGGGTCTTTACCTTGAGCCACTCCACCAGCCCTTTTTTGTGATGGGTTTTTTCAAGATAGAGCCTCTCGAACTATTTGCCCAGGCTGGCTTTGAACCATTAATCTCCTGATCTCTGCCTCCTGAGTAGCTAGGGTTACAGGCGTGAGCACTAGCGCCCAGCCTCTTGCACATTATTTTAATAAAATGATTTAAAGTGTTAATTAGATATAGATATGTGTGGAAAATTTTGCCAAACATATATAACTTGATGCTTCACTTGCTATAAAATTTCATTAATTGCTAAACATTAAACTTTATCTATATTCTTTCTAATTCCACTAAGGGTTTTTGGAAACAAAGTATAAATATGAATAAAGTATTAGTTGTATCTAATAAAAGTTAGACAATCTCTGAATTTTACATACTTTATGACTTACTTGATTCTAACTAAATTCAGTTCTCAGTGTTTAATTTCCTAAAACACCTTTGACATCAGGGTCAGTTTACTAGTTAATGTTATTTACTTCACTCTTAACATTTTTTTCTCCATCAGAGAAGTTTGTTTTTAGGAAACTTATTCTAGTCTTGATTCTCTTAAGATATGAAGTCACCTCTTTGATTTATTTAATCCACACTACTTGTCTTTGGCCTTCCTGTAGCTCAGATCAAGTCATATCTTCATTTGTTATATGAACATTTTGCTGTTTTATGCTCTTAATTTCTGCCTGATCTAAACGCATTCCTGAAGTGATGTCTTAGATTTTCAAATTACAGATCCTGTTCTTTGATGTTTTCTAAAAAATACAACACAATATTGTCTATTCTATGTCATTTAAATGTCCTAATATCTAGTAAGTTTTATTTATTACAAAAAAATGGGAGAGGAAGAGAAAACATTTACAAATGAAATTTTCAGTAGTGCTGTGTAATCTGCAGTCCTACTTCCAGTCGGTGCAGTGCTCTGGCGCCATCTTGTGTGGCACAACTCCCTAGCTGTGGAGTCACATCTGTCATCTTGTGGTTACTCAGCAGTGTTTTACCTCACTCTGGTGGTGAAAAAGTAGGTTTTACCACATTTAATTTAAGAAATAAACAATACTTATGTTCCTCTCTTAAACAGTGTAGATACTCTTAAACAGTGGAAACTGAACTTTTTTATATTTCTGGTTTTACTTGGACTTCAGTATTTTGATCAAGGAGATATGAATGAAATAATGTAAGGATACATGTTTTAATAATTTTGCAATAAAATTTCCTGAAGAAAAAAGATCAAAATAGGAATTCAAGAGGTAGGTTTCTTGGTGAGTTCTATATTTGTAATAGGGTTGAGAGATAGGTAGGTCAACTTTATTAAACAAAGGCTCCAGCTATCTAGAAAATCCACACGATTTTAATTATTATAAGTTATTATGTACTGTAACTGACTGGAGTGGTTACTCCCTCTCTATACTTCCATGGAATCACTATGTCCTCTGAAGTGGCACATCATTCTCTTTATTTTGCTTGTTACTCTCCCTGTAAGCTGTGCAAAGTCCTGGGCCATGTCATGTCTGGTTTAAAACCATTGCCTCCCTAGCACCTAGCATAGTGCCAGGCAAGTAAAAGGAGTATCAATAAATATTTACTGAGTGTAAGTGGGTTATTTTACTGCTATTAATAATTTTTATCCAAGTAAGCCATTAAAAAATAATATGCAAATAATTTTTATCATAATAATTTTCAGTTTCTTAATGTTTGATTTCACTGATTAATGCTTTAGCATCTGAAAAGAATAAGATCTAAATTATTCCTTAAGTTCCATTTAAATATATAATCAGTGAATTTGTTTGGTATACTCATTCTGTAGCTGATTTTTCTTAGAACCAGTTAAAATGTAATGGAAGGAGCCCAAGGCCAGGAGTAAAAAGCCTCGGGTTGCTATCCTGAAGTGCTTGCTAGTTATGTTCTTCTGCAAATCATATATTGATTTTGAGCCAATTTCCTTTATCTATAAATGAAGTTTAAAAGACATTGTGAATTTACTCTGGAAACTTTTTAAGTGTTACATCAATTTGTATTAATACAAATTTTGGCTATATGTGAATAGCATAAAGTGAAATCGCATTTGTGGGGATAGAACATACAACCTTGGTATCATTAGCATATGCTTAATGAAACTATAAAGTCAACTTCTAACTTATAAAAAGTGGCTGAAAGTAAATTTAATACAGCATCAGCTGAGCAGTTGCTATGTACAGACACTGTTCTAAGTACTTAACATGTGCTAACTCATTGCTCATTATGACTGTAAGGAAATTCATATCTTACTCTTTTTAATATGTCAGGAAACTGAGGCCCACAGAGGTTAAATAATTTGAGATCACACAGGCAGCAAGCAGGACCAAGATTCTGGCAAAGGCAGTCTACCATTTGTATATGACAAAGCTGTTTGCATAATTCTGTTGGTGAACCTATTTCAGACAACATCTTAATGGAAGACTGTTTTGCTATTTGAGAAAATTTTCTTGGTCTATAGGAAAAAAAAACCTAATTTAGAATAATTCTGCTTGAATAGAGTACTCCTTAGCTCACACGTGGTTTAAACAGCTTTATTATTTGAAAAAGTAAATTAATTAAATGAGTAGTCTTTTCTGAGAGTACTGTTGTAATGTAGAAAAAAGCCACTGTTCTAGTCTCAGGGTCTTTATAATCTAAAAACCTAGGGCATGAAAACAAGAATAAATATTACCACATTCTAGTTATTGAAACATTCTTAATCAATTTTTGACTATTGGGTAAGAGAAAGCAGCAAGAAAGGTTCACCAACATTTATTGATGTGTATATCTGTGTTCCCAAGGAGGTTCCAAAACAAGAGGAATGATTACATTTGGCATTTCATTTTTGTGTTTTGTTTCACTCTTAAGTAGGACATGAAGAAAATAATGAGTTTTACTTTAGAGGAAAACCAATGAATGCTTTACCTTCTACTGATTTAAAATAAAATCAGTCTTCCTCTCTCCCTGCCCCCTCATGGCCTGTATTCCTGATAACCTTTCTTGTTAATGGGCAGGAATTTTCTTTCTTTTGACCTCTTAGTACCAGGAAGGACAGGTCTTTCCTAATTTTCACCTTCTAGTTTGGAAAAAATGGCTAGGAACATGTGTTAAATAATATAAAGAAAAACAATGTAAATTTTATACTAGTTTTCCTATAAGCACAAATGTGGACATTTAAATTTATTCTAGCTATTTAAAGAATTAAGTCTTATTATGGATTTATTGATAAGTTGAATTGCTGTTGAGAAATCACTTTTGATACATTTTGACATTTATAAAGTGAAGTTAAGTTACCTTTACTTAATTTATGACACAAAGCAAAATTGTAAATTTATGTCACAAAAATTTAGCAAGTCAATTTTGACTTTTAATACATTCCTGATTTCTAATGTTATATATTATCACTTTATTTTAAATAGCTTCTGATTAAAATAATCTAACATATATAAAATGTTTTAAATATTTGAAAAGATGGAATTATGCATTATTTCTATATGAAGCAGGGTAAATATTTCAGAGGCCACACTAAAATATTCCACAAGGGGACACCAAAGTCTCATTAATGTGATTTTGGCCTTTCTTCAAAAAAAGCAAATTTAGCTTTTATGTATTTGACATTGATATGCTATGACATTGCCAAATAGTGAAAGTGTTCTTTGACTTCATTTTTTAAGTGTATGTAGAATAAATTTGGGGAATAGTATTACTCAGAGTTGGTAATTAAAATATTTTAGCTGGCTCACAGGAGGGTACTGTTTTCCCCAGGCCTTCTAATAGCACACCTTGTTGGTGGGCCTTGGTTTGTGCTTTGGCCATCTGTGTTTACTTACCCCAAGGGCTCTGGACTCTTGGCTCCTCTATCATGGACTGTGGAGCCAGAGAGGCAAAGAAGCTGTGGAAACATGGCAAGTGAGTGTTGGTTATAAAAGTGGTCTCCTGCTACTACCAGTGACT